TACTTAACCTTTATTCTAAATACTGCGAACATTGAAAATAAAAATTTAATAAATATTTATTAAATCTTCGGTGCTATATGGGTTATAATCTATGACCCTAATTTTGAGGTAATGTCAGATTTTTAGGGTTTCGTCGCCCATGGCCGAAAGCCTTATAGTTTCACTTTGGCGTCCGTCTGTCTGTCCGTAGTATAAACACCCCCTATAATCCCCACAGATCCCAAATTCGAATTTTGGGCAAACATAGCTTCCAAATTCGAATTTTGGGGCACCACAGATCCCAAATTCAAATTTTGGGGCAACATAGCTCCCAAATCCAAATTTTGGGGCCCCACAGATCCCAAATCTCCATTTACTGAATGGACATTTTCCCGAATGGACATTACATGAATGGACATTACATGTCCCATTAGTTAACATGCCCCTATAATTGACATGTCCCAGTATTTGACCTGTCTCAGTAATTGACATGTCCAAATAGTTGACATATCCCAATAGTTGACATGTCCCTATAGTTGACATGTCCCAGTAGTTGACATGTCCCTATAGTTGACATGTCTCTATAGTTGACATGTCCAAGAGTTGACATGTCTTAATAGTGGACATTATCGAATGGACATTTTACCTAATGTTTTTGTTTGTGAATCAAAAAAGATAAATGATAGAAGAAAGACCTCCACTCCACAGCCACTCTTTCTTTTTTCTTGACATGTCTTAGTTGACATGTCTTAATAGTGGACATTATCGAATGGACATTTTACCTAATGTTTTTGTTTATGAATCAAAAAAGATAAATGATAGAAGAAAGACCTCCACTCCACAGCCACTCTTTCTTTTTTCTTTCATTTACCTTTTTGAATTTTGATTTTGCCAATTTTTGATTTTCTTCGAATGACATTTTTTTAAAATTTTGCGGTAAAGTTTTTGTTTGTCAATCAAAAGATATTAATGGTAGAAGAAAGACCTCCACTCCACAGCCACTCTTTCTTTTTTCTTTCATTTTTTAATTTTTCTTTTCTTTTTTTTTAATTAAAATTTAAAGCGCCACGAAACCCTAGATGTAGGCGCAATTGCGCCTAGTTCTTTTCCTATTTTTTCTATGAATTTGACTAAATTTTGAGGTTATGTTCGCCTCCACGCCTATGACCTTTAACGTAAATTTAAGGTTATGTTCTTCTTTGACCTATGACCTTTAAAATTTTAAAGGGAGGGTCATATCTTGACCTCTGTAACAATTTTGAGGTTATGTCCGTCTCTACTCCATCAAAAACTCTGGTTTTTGATATATGTCCTTGATTTTTGAAGTTATGTTCGTTTTAATCTATGATTCTGTCATTTGACTTTGAGTATTGATGTGATGTTAATTTTTAACCTGTGTTTTTAATAAAGATAGTACAATATCTGAAATTTTCGAGACAAATTCTGAACGGTACGCGAGTTATTAATGCTTCGCGAGTTGAATGGTAGGCGAGTACTCTGAGCTCCCGCGTAGCGTCGAAATTTTCGCCTAGCGTTCATTCGAGACAAATTCTGAATGGTACGCGACTTTGAATGCTATGCGAGTTGAATGGTAGGCGAGTAGTGTGAGCTCACGCGTAGCGTCGAAATTCTCGCCTAGCGTTGATTCTTGAATCAGCGGCAGCGGCGGCAATATCTTTTTATAATATATTAATGATATATATATATAAAAATAAAAAAAAGTTATTGATTAAAAATAAATAAATAAAAATTAATTATTATAATTTCAGTTCTACCCTATTGAAAAACCCCATATAGGATCCTATATAGGATCCGTTAAAACTTCCCAGAAAAAAACTAGATAAAATCCTTGAATTTTATAGGAATTTTTATAGGATCCCATATAAATTCGTGTAGGAAAGTGAAACAGGATTTAATGTAGAAAATGACATAGGAGTTATCATATAAACTTCCATTTGAAAAACCACGTAAATTTCTATGTGATTTCCTCTAAATTTTCTCTTACATTATCTTATGTCAATTCCCCTATGTACATTCCTTATAAATTTCCTATGTAATTTCCTGTATGAAAACATGAAAGTTTATAATAGTAACCTTAATTAAAATATTCTTATGTCAAATCCAATATTGTATCCTAGGTGAAATCTTATTTTCTTTATATGTATATAGATAAAAAATTTCTTTGAAAAATCCTATGTCGAATCTCATATGAAAACCCGTGTAAACATATCACATGGATTTATATAAAGGAAACAATATAGGATTTCATATGGGAATTTTTAGTTGAATACTTTATGCAGACGGCAGTTTTCAAAAATTAAAAATTATTGAATTAAAAATTTAATAATATTACTGCAACTCACCTGCAAAGAAAAAAATCGGTGATTTGCAATACACTGTTTGAGTTAGTCTCAGCTTTTATAGTATTCAAGACTGATCTCAACTGTGAGAGACAAAATATTATCACTATCTGGTAACGTAAATGTGGAACTATAATGATCTGCACCTATATTGAAATTACTCATATAATTTTCTATATATTCATAGGAAATTGTATGGGAAATTATATAGGAAATTATATGGGAAATTAAATAGGTAAATAATTTTAGGTGTAGATCATATTGCCATATAATTTCTTATATAATTTCCTTTATAATTTCTAATATAAATGCTTTAGAAATGTATAGTCCGGTTCACTGAGACAAAAAAAATTTTGTGGTCCTGTGTAATTGATATTTTATAACAGATTAAACAGGACATCATACATCCCAAATAGCACATTATCTTGCTGTATGCTAGCTTGATCAGACATAAAAGATTCGTGAACTTCACAGGTAACTTAAAGAAAAGCTAACAGTAAGAAATAAATGCCGGCATGTGTTCACTTTGTAACGTTGTAAAATTTATAATTTTACAATTCCCTATTGAAAATTCTTGTACAAGATCTTGTAGAAGATAATGTACATGTTCAGCAGCTGAACTCGTACCAGTTCTGATGCGGAAAATGTACATTTTCTTGCACCAGTATTGGGAAATTCTTTTATCAGAACTTGTACAAGATGTTGCACAAGATCTTGTACAAGAAAATTTATTTAATATTTGTATACAAAAAAATGTATGTGTTTTTTACATATTCTTGTGCAGGTTCATGTATATTTTCTTGCACCAGATTTGGTATATCTTTTTGTACATGTTTATTTATGTCTACGTTTAGTAAAAATTAAAAACTTTAAAAGCTACGCAGTAGTTTTATTAAGCTGCGCAATAATTTTTAACATGCATAAGTGAAGAGTTTTAATGATTATAAATTTTTAAAATTGCAAATTTTTTTCTCAAATGTACTTGTACAAGAACAAGAATGATTTCATGTGTGAGTACTTGTATATGAATCTGCACAAGAATATGTACAAGAACATTTACATTTTCTTGTAGAAGTATGTTTTCTTGTACAAGATCTTGTACAACATTTGATACAAGAACTTGTTCCAAATTCTGGTGCAAGAAAATGTACATTTTCCGCACCAGAACTGGTACAAGTTCAGTTAATAAACATGTACATTTTCTTGTACAGGGATTTTCAATAGAGAATTCTATACTCAGATTTGTTTCGATTTTAATTATTTTGTTTAGTTTTTATTTTTTGTTGTCTAAATTGGTTAAATTTAGTTATTAATTCAAAATACAATTTGTCATCATTTTTTTGTTGATTCTATGGTCTGTTGCAATGTAGATATCCAAAATTGTAATTTGTCATCATGATTTCACAAAAATTTGAGATAATATAGATAATTGAAATTAATTTCCAATAATTAACTTATATAAACCCTTTATTATTTCATGTAATGATTTCTGAGTCAACGTTCAGAAAATTTGAAGATTTTTTGAAGATGAAATTATATTTCAATTTTAAGTGAAGACCTATATTATTCACTTTAATTTTCCATATTATGTAAATATAAGATTCAAGTATGATTTTTTGGCTAATCTTGCATCAAAATAACGAAAAACGTTGATTAATTAAAAAAAATAACAATCAAGGACAATAATTTGAAGAATATTAGTTATAGAATATTAATTTCTGACAACCATTATCTTCAAAAATTTAAAGAAGAATTAGATATTTTATCGACCAATCAAAATTATTTAAATTGGGTAAAATTCCTGTAGCGTACTGAGTGAAAAAAAAGTTGATCGGATCAGGTTGTATCTTGCACATAGTTTGGGGTGATTACTTTAACCACGAAGTATTGTTAGGTTTTTTCAAAACTGTAGGAGAGGGAGGGGGTTGAATTTTTTTGAAAAATTAAACAGTGAATTTTTGAAGACTTGTAACTTTTAAACAGAAAGATTAAAAAAATTTTGACCTATATGGTTTCGAAAGGTTTTTTCCTGCTCTTTCGAATGGTGCAAATTTTTTTTTAAATTCAAAATTTGACCCTTTATTTTAAAAATCAAAAATGTTGTTGACTTTTTTTTAAGTTTGGTCATTTTTTGTTTATTTATTTTTTGTTTGAAAGTGAAAAATATTTATTTTCACCACAAAAAATATTGAGATGTCCTTTTTTGTTATTTTCGAGATATTAATTAATTAATTAGGTAATAAAAAAATATATTTCACAAATAAATAAAGTTATTGCAATTCTGAAGCTACCAATTGAAAGCTGATGTAATTCCGCATTCAACGAGCCCTATATGAACTATTTTGGATTAGAGGATTTTTTATAAACAATTACAATGTACTTCATATAGGGCTAGTTAGTTGCGGAATTATGACAACTTTTATTTAGTAACGTCAGAATTACGATTTAAAAAAAAAATAAAAAAAGTCAAAAAATTTTGGGGTCATTTTTTGAAGTTACATCTCCAATTTTTTTTAAAAAAGTACCTTATAATGCCCCCTTTAACGGCTTTTGCATACTTAACTTTCTATGCCTTTAGTGAAATATTTTTTGACTGATTCAAACTGATCAATATCAATGTGTAAAAATGGCTTAGTTCGCAAAACCTAATAAATATTTCAGACACATGAATGCATTTTCAATTCTTCAAATGAATATGGCTGAGTCTAATAAATTATGTGAGGACCAAATAAAGAGTGTGGCAGTGCAAAATCTAATGTAAAGTTGGAAATTATAAAACTCTTGAGACTATAAAATGAGGTGTTGATAGTAATAATTATGGGTTATAATATGAAACTAAAATAAAAGTGTGTTTAAAAATTGTATGCACAGACGAGTTAAAATGTTCTGTTTAATTTATTTATATAGAAAAGACGCAAATACTTTTTTGTAATAATTTTAGGTTTAAAAACTTATATAAATACTAATTTTCGAAAGAGAAGTCTTAAAAAATTATTAAAATTAATGTTTTAATTATTTGAAAGCCGTTATGTCAGTAATTAAAAAAAAACTTTAATCTATAACAGTATAAATAAATCAATACAATATTTTAAATTTTTTAGGTTTTAAATGTGTAAAACCCATTTTTACTACCAACTCCTTAAAAATATAAAAACTTTTCTTACCAATAGGGTAACTAACACTCTCCATAATTGTTTAAAATGACAAATGAATACTAAATGTAAAATTAAAATCCTAAAAAATGAACACTAACTTTACAGTGACAATAAACTATTATGTTAAATTATTTTATAATATTATAAAAATCTTAAAAAATTTTGTAACTTGAAGCAATTACGGATGAGAGCCCATTTGGCTAAGAAATTCTAATAAATACTTCACAATTAAATCATAGACAAATATATTTTTATAGAAACAGCAATAAAACATTTGATGCTATAATCATAGAACAGTTGTGGTTTCAATGTTATTATGCTTTAGTTAAGCGATATAACTTTCCTCTTCTAATCGGTTTCTTGAGTGTTGGAAATTTACCATATGCTATGGATTCTGTGGGTAAGTTAAATATTATACCTGTATAAACCAAAGATGATAAATACATGGACAGAAGTTATAATATTTAATACAATTATCCTTGCGATTAATCATATAAATGATGATTTTAAAGTATTTTTAATTCTCTAGACCCTATTAAAGGTCAGCAAAATCTTAACATACAAAATTTAGATTATTTCATCTGGTTAAAGTTTAAAGATATCCGACTTATGTAAACATATATATGTTTAAATTTTTATCAGAAATTTATTTACTTTCTTAAAACTTATCAAAAGCATGGGATGAAGTAGTTGATATATTAAATGTTGAAAGTCTGTATTTATGAGTTATACGACTAAAATTATAATCACACATATACAATTATTGCAAAGGATACTTGTATTTAAAATCTTTTTAATGAATATTCAAAAGGTAATCCAGATAATCCACTACTGAATGCTGACATGGCATTTGCATTTAATGATAAAATGACATTAAATGAACGTTTATGGAATGTACTATACACTACGTGGACCAGGATATATTTTAAATTTATTCATTTACCACAAGCTCAGATAATAGCAAATAAATATATTCCTGGGACTTCTGTTTTTGAAGTTGAGAACAATTTTAGTTTAGTCATTCTTGGAAACAATCACATATTTGGTTATCCTAAGCCATTGTTACCTAATGTTGTCGAAGTACACAGTCTGCATATAAATGACAATCCTGCTCATTTACCTCAGGTGAATATTTTTACTTATCTTTATATTTAAGTTTTTACCTACACTGTTTATTTAGCATATTATATAATTAATGTACGGGAAAGGGAGAATAATGAGTGGTGACCAATAAACGTGCCGCGATAACTATTTTTACCTATAAATAGTCAATTGCATTGTATTAATTATTTTATCAATTATTATTTAAATATAAAAATTTATTGCAGGACATTCAAGAATTCCTAGATAATGCACCTGATGGAGTAATTTATTTCTCTTTGGGTTCAAATTTGCAATCAGATCAATTATCAAACAATTCATTAACTGCACTTTATGGTGCTTTCAGAACATTAAAGCAAAAAATTTTATGGAAGCATACAGGAATTCCAACAATTGAAATCAAAAACATAAAATTTATAAAATGGGCACCACAGCAAACTGTTTTGGGTATAACTTATTTAATATTTAACCATAGAGTACTCATTATAAATTGCTGAAGTACTGACTCAGTACTAGAAGCACACTGGCATGTCAATTTATTTCACACCTGCATTTGTAAATTATCAAAGGAAGTTAGAGAAAAATTAACCTCAAAAAGTACTTACTATCGAAAAGTTATTAAACGAGACACAAAAACTTATTCGAATGATTTTGGCGAACAATACCCTATTGAAAATCCCCACATGGGAAACCACATGGAATCCTATGTCTAAAACTATGTAAAATCCTACTTCCATTAAGGGGGTGTCCTGAATTAGAAAGCATAAAAAAGCTGTTTTTTGATAATTTTTTTTTAAAGGGAAAAGAAAATCTCAACCTAGTTAAACCTAAGGTACATTTTTATGGATGTTTGAAGAGTGTTAAAAAAATTTTAACCACATGATTCGATGAAATGTTAAGGAGTTAGCAGCCTATTCCGAGAGCGCCTTGAAAATTCAGTATCCAATTGGCGGGAAAGATACAGATCGCAATTCTTGACCAAAAAAAAGAAAAAAATTTTTTTCCAATTTTTACATATGTAGTTTCTAGTTGAACCTATAAAAACACGTAAAAGTCGTGAAATAATAATTTTTATTGAAGTTTGAAAAAAATGTATTTTTTAGAAAAAAAAATCACTTTAAAGTGTTATAAAATCTTCTGAAAAAGGATTTTGAACCATGTTTTAGGTTCAACTAGAAGAGAATATTATACTGAAGAGAATAAGCCTTGAACCGATCCAATCTGTCGATAAATTTTTTTGCTATCTTTCCCGCCAATTAGATACTGCATTTTCAAGGCGCTCTCGGATAACTCTTTAACAGTTCATCGAATCATGTAGTTAAAATTTTTTTTATACTTTTCAAACATCTACAAAAATGCACCTTACCTTTAACTAGGCTGACAGTTTTTATCCCCTTCGAAAAAAAATTCTCAAAAAACAGCTTTTTTATGCTTTCTAATTCAGGACACCCCCTTAAGGAAACCATATGGTTCCCATGTAAATCCCCATGGAAAATTGAGAAAGGATTTCAGGTAGAAAGAAATTCAAAACGATTTCCTATGTCAAATCCAATGTTAAATCCTTTTTCAATTATTAAGTATAATTTTCCCATATCAATCCCCAAATGAAATCCTTTTTCATTTTTTTGAAAAATTTTCCCATATCAAATCCTATATCATTCCAGTGTCAAATCCTCTTTCGCCTTATTGAAAATCCCCATATAGGAAACCTAATAGGAATCCACATGGGAAGTGGAACACGATTTCATGTGCATTCTTACATACGATTACACATAGAATTTTATATGTGAAAATTTTTCAAAAAAATGAAAAGTGGTATTCCTTAGGGATTGATTTAGGAAAATTATAATAAATAATTGAAAAAGGATTCGACATGAGATTTGACATGACATTTGATATGGGATTTGATATGGGTAAAGTTTTCAAAAAAATGATAAAGGGTTTCACTTGAGGATTGATTTGGGAAAATTATGTTGGAAAAGGATTTGACATGGGATTTGATGATATGGAAATATTTTTTAAAAAAATGAAAAAGGATTTCACTTGGGGATTGATATTAAAAAATTATACTAAATAATTGAAAAATGATTAAACATGCGATTTGATATGGAAAATTTTCTCAGAAAAATGAAACAGGATTTCACTTGGGGATTGATTTGAGAAAATTATACTAAATAATTGAGAAAGGATTTCACTTAGGGATTGATTTTGGGAAAATTATACTAAATAATTGAAAAAGGATTTGACATGGGATTTGATATGGGGGTCAGTCCAGCGAAAATCATCTAGAGCCGGTTGCTCGATGATTTTAGAAATGCCTGAAATTGATATATAATATTCTTTTATGCAATTTAATGATCATTTGAGGTTTTATATTGCTAAAGACGTCTTAGTATTTTTTAAAATAGTTTTTAAAAAGATTTGATAAGCTGCACGGGTTTGAATCATCCATTTTACAACGATGCTGTAAAAGTCGTTGTAAAATGAAAAACATCCCTGGCGGATTTGATTAATCTAAATTCGACCCAGCTAGGGCGAATTTAGGTAAATAAAATCCGCCAAAGATATCTAATATGTATTTTTTATAATACATATTCATATAAAATACCTAAATAAATGCCAAGTGCTTGAAAATTACTCACCTAAATACTTAAATCTTGATTTTTCAAACCTTGCAAATTAGGTAAAATTAACCTGTTTTTGACAAGATTTTTGTTTTTTATTATCAGAGTTGAAGTTAACCACTTAAAATTTCCTATTATTACGATTTAATTCAAAAATGTATATGAAAATTAAATTCAAAATTATTAATTTTTTTCAACATTTTATATAATTATATAATTATAATTATTTATATTATTTTTTTATTATTTTTATTATATCATTAATTGTAATTATAATATATAAAAACCAACGTACTTCATTTTGTGATTTGTACATTTTTGTGCTTTGGTGATTCTGATACACGTTTCGTTTTAATATATATTATAATATATTTTATATATTAGGGGAGGATGGGGCAAGGATAGTTAAGGGGTAAGGATAGTTAATTGCTGTTATGTTTAAACGGCTTGTTCAAAATTCGCGTCAGTCATGGTATATTTGCGTCTTAACACCAATAGATGATAGTAAAAATTGGAAGTCAATCTGCCACCATTTGCGAAGTCAGGAGTATATTTTTGTAAAAAGTCTGTTTTGCTAAAATGTCAACATAGTGTTTATCATACTGTTTTCTATATTAGTGCTTCAGAATATTTATTTTCGTAAATGTTTTCCGCAGTGGAATTTCCTGCTGAACACGAATATCGTATTTATTTTTAAATTAATTAACGTCGTTCCTTAAAATTTATAAAAAACTGAAATATGGGCTTATGGGGCAAGGATAGTTAGAGCTATTACGTCTCGATAAAATCCTGCTAATGCGACTGCAAATTATAAAAAAATGTTTAATTGTTCTTTTTATGTTGATATACATAATGGTACGTAATTATATACGGAAAACGAAGCTTATTGACCAAGAAATTGGTGATCATCTGAAGAAAATTGGTTAAACCTCAGACTCTAGTTCAGACGAATTTTGATGCAATAATTGATATTATAAAATGTTTAAAACATGTTGTTAATACTTGATATATCAATATTGAATAGTCTAAATCCAATAAAATAAAGAAACCGAAAATTTACTGATTTTCTATGACAATTTTAGCATTTGGATTCTTCTAACTATCCTTGCCCCGGTACTGGGGCAAGGATAGTTGAGATTTTTTTTTACTTTTTCATTCGTATCTCGTAGGGATTGCACTCTACAGCAAAATAATGTATAGCAAAATTATAGCCAAATAACCAGGCTTTCCAAAAATACTACTCGTTTGCAGATACAAATTCAGGTTTGGTCGCTAGATTCGAAAACGTCTTACCTAACTATTCATGCCCCATCCTCCCCTACAATTACAATTAATGATATAATAAAAATAATAAAAAAATAATATAAATAATTATAATTATATAATTATAAAAAATGTTGAAAAAAATTAATAATTTTGAATTTAATTTTCATATACATTTTTGAATTAAATCGTAATAATAGGAAATTTTAAGTGATTAACTTCAACCCTGATTATAAAAAACAAAAATCTTGTCAAAAACCGGTTAATTTTACCTAATTTTCAAGGTTTAAAAAATTAATAACGGGACAAAACCCCACAAAAATTCCTATTGGTATGTCTTCCTAGTGTTAATATACACTAAATTCAAAAGGTTTTAAAAGTTTTTATTTTTCTCCATAGAAGATATGCGTAAACGAAAACGATGAATATAGCACTGTGCAAACTCGAAAAAATCAAGATTTAAGTATTTAGGTGAGTAATTTTCAAGCACTTGGCATTTATTTAGGTATTTTATATGAATATGTATTATGAAAAATACATATTAGATATGTTTTTCATTTTACAACGACTTTTACAGCATCGTTGTAAAATGGATGATTCATAACCCTGCAGCTTATCAAATCTTTTTAAAAACTATTTTAAAAAAAACTAAGACGTCTTTAGCAATATAAAACCTCAAATGATCATTAAATTGCATAAAAGAATATTATATATCAATTTCAGGCATTTCTAAAATAATCGAGCAACCGGCTCTAGATGATTTTCGCTGGACTGACCCATGGGAAAATTTAAAAAAAAATGAAAAAGAATTTCACTTAGGGATTGATATGGGAAAATTATACTAAATAATTGAAGAGGGATTTAACATTGGATTTGACATAGGAAAACGTTTTGAATTTTTTTCTACCTCAAATCCTTTCTCAATTTTCCATGGGGATTTACATAGGAAGCCATATGCTTTCCTTAATGGAAGTGGGGTTTTACATAGTTTTTGACATAGGATCTCATGCGGTTTCCCATGTGGGGATTTTCAATAGGGTATACTCTATATTAATATTTCATTTATATTTTTAGAAAATGAAACAAAACTATAAAATGTTACAATCATTTTTTAAAAATAATATACTTATTAATTTCAATTTAAATTGTTGAATTAAATCACAGAAAATTAAAAGGCATTAAAATAAGTTGCAACGCTTCTTATTTTAATCCAATTTTGCTTATTTTAATCCATTTTGGTATTAAAATAAGCAAAATTGGATTAAATTAATAAGCGTTGCAGCTTATTTTAATGCCTTTTAATTTTCTGTGATAGTGTCTCACAGATCCCCGGTGTGCTTTTTGCTAGAAAAAATAGGTGTATTCTTCGAGGGCTAATGGTTTAGGTAACATTTTTAAGTCATTTTTATTTATAATACCTTTTTTACAGCACATAAGAATACAAAAGTTTTTATGATGCAAGGTGGACTCCAGTCGTTGCAAGAAGCTGTGTATTACGGGGTTCCCTTAATATCGATACCATTTTTTGGTGATCAGTTGTTTAATACACGAAAAATTATAGATTCAAAAATTGGTCTATCATTGGAAGTTGATGGTATGACCAGCAAATCTATAGTGGAGGTTGTAGAAAAAGTTTTACAAAACTCACAGTAAGTTATAATGTCAGATATTTTGAACCCACAAACTTCAAATGTCTCACCTATGGCACGCTTACTCGGTAATCTTACTGCGCAAGGTTGTAATAACTTTGCAGCGCAAGTTTGCGAAACCCAACATGATGATAATAATTATTCAGTTTTTAGTCGCGCGTGGCGCTGTAGTATACCTCGAAGCGCCGTGTATATAATAAATATGGCTCCCCCCTTGTCGACAGGACGAAAACAATACTGGTCTTCGTCTCCCTGTCACTCTTGAATAATCAGGAATCACTTCCAATTATATGTGTCAGAAAGCTCTTCCCTTTTCTAATTAAAGTCGTCTTAATTGATCCGAACCCCCAAAGCACCGAAACTTTCTTTAAAGATTTCTTGAAGATTTATTTGAAATGTTCAAAATATTTAATTGCAATGTTTAGTGAAAAATTGTGTAAAGATTTAAATGTCCCGATTAAATAAATGTTTAGTGTGAAACTTTGTGAAAATTTCCTGAACATTTATTCAAGTGGGACATTTAAATCTTTACACAATTTTTACTAAACATTGCAATTAAATATTTCGAACATTTCAAATAAATCTTTATGAAATCTTTAGGAAAGTTTCGCTGCTGTAGGGGAATAGTGTACGCAGTTTTGAACATTTGAAACAAAAATTAAACCGAGAGTATTTAAACTTATCAAATAAACAAATTTGTTGTCGATAATCTGAAGAATTAATAACTTTGACCTGCAAGTTAATAAAAAATTACGATTGTAAATCCGGTTTCAAATTCACAGTCGTATTTTGGACCGTATAATTATAATGTATATTTAAAAAAATACAGTACAGCTCAAAAAAAGGTTAATATCTCCTATTACATTAAAATGTTTGTTTTGACGTCTTCGTGAGGTCACTTGGACAAAAATTTTCATTTTTCACATTCTTTTTCAACAATTCATGTACAGATATGATTTAAAATTAAAATTTACACATACATTAAACATATGTTTTAAGAAAAAATTCCTATTTTAATTTTTTGCAACTTTTTTATATTTTTTAGCGATTAAGATGTAAAATGCGTCTTAATTTCAAATCTCACTAACAAATATTTATTTCTTAAAAAGTTATAGTGGTTTCAACAATTTTTTCAAATATCTATTATTATATAAACAAGTTGTAAATTCAGATGTTTATTACATGAACATTTTGCTTCCTCTTTACAATCAGCAAAAAAATTTGCTTCCTCGTGGAGAAAGCATTAACATTGAAATAAACATACAAAAATAATATAATAATATAAACATTTGAGTACCTATAGATTTGGGTTAAATATTTAAAGAATTAATGGAAGTTAAAAAATCAAAAATTCACATTTTAGCTGAAATTTCTGAAAAATAAAGAAAAATAATATATAATTTATAATTATTTACAATTATATCAGTTTGTTTCAATGCAAGGAACACAATTATTTTATATTTAAACTTGAATTTAAATAAATACAAAATTTATCATCTAAAATGGGAATTTTTTTTTTAACTTTCATTAATTTATTAAATTTACCTCAAATGTATACTTTATATATACCAATCGATTCGTTCTCATTCAAGAAATACAATTATTTCATATATAAACTTCAATTTAAAAAATCACAAAATTTCATTGCCAAAATGTGAAATTTTTATTTTTTAACTTTCATAAATTCTTTAAATTTAAATTGAAACTATACTTTATATATTTTATTATATATAACCTTAAATTTTTCTGTTTAAAAATTTTTTCGATTAAAAAAAAATTTTGGAAAAAAGACGATAAAATTTGTTTTTTGTGTATTTTTTAAAATCTTTTGGTCAGATTTGAGATATTAATATGATAAATAAGCCTACCAAATTTTATCTAAATCCATTAAAACCTGTTAAAGTTATCGTCTAAACAAAAAAGGGATCCGCACACACACACATACATACATCCGGACAATTGATCAGGATCTCATATAACATTGTTATATTTGTTGATTTTAATATTAATAAAACACAAATACTATTTTAATTTATTTATTTATGAAAAGTAAGTAGGAATACATTTTAACAGTGGGATCTGTACCAAGGCTGTACATAGACTGCCGTTCCCTAAGTCAACGTAGAAACGCAACAAGTTACGCAATTTATGCAAGTTGACAATAGTGACATCTCGACATCTCCCTTTTTTTTATTAATTATTTAAAAATTAAGAACAATTTATAAAATGATTAAGTTTAGAGAAAATGAAAATATTCAAGTTACAACGAAGTCATTCAGTTGATTCGGAGGTTTAACAATTCTACCGCTTCTCGTAGTTCTATTTTCGTAAGTAACTTTTTTTCTATTATAATTTCGCCTTTGATTGTCTGGATTGACATTTACTTCAGGTGGAGGCATTGGGTTGTTTGGAACGATTTCTGCTCTTTCTCTAACAATTTCTCGAGGAGTTACATTATTCGGAACTGGACTGTCATAATAAACTTCGGGATTAATTACAAAGTTTTGTTTGCGATCAAGTTTTAAAAATCTTCTATTCCTAATAAAAATCCTTCCAGTTTCAGTTACAATTTTATACGATCTCGGATTGTTCGTAAAATCTATAACTTTAGCCTTTTGCCAAGTTTTGTCTTGAAGTTGCAATCTAACATTATCGTTTATTTTCAATTTTGAAAGATTTTTCGATTTTTTATCGTAGTACGCTTTTCCATATTTCTGCCGCTTTTTGAGTTCTTCACTCAATTTTTCGTTTCTTTCAACCGGTTTTTCTAAAAATTCAGGAAATATTCCGCGAACATTTTTTCCGATTAATATTTTATTTGGTGATTGTATTTTGTTTGATATTGGAGTGTTTCTCAACTCTAAAAGCGCCAGGAATGGATCTTTTCCGTTGAACATTGCTTTTTTCATAATTTTCTTGCCCGTTTGGACTTGACGTTCTACAAAACCGTTACTCTGTGGATATCTCGGACTAGATGTGACATGTTCAAAATTCCACTCTTTCGCAAATTCTTTGAACTTTTTGCTACTAAACTGCGGACCATTGTCTGATCGTACTATTTTCGGAATTCCAAATCTCGCAAAAAATGATTTTAGTAAATTTATTGTTGTTTCGCTTGATTCGTCGGTTAACAAATTAAATTCAATATATTTCGAATGATAGTCTACGACGATTATAAAAACTTTTTTATTTATATAAAATAAATCTGTGCCTACTATTTGACACGATGAAGTAGGAATTTCGCTTGACATTAATTCTTCTCTCGTATTGCTTTTCTGATATTTTTGGCAAGTTTCGCAGTTAACAATTTTATCCTCTATTTGTTTTGTCATACCTGGCCAATACAGAATTTCTCGCGCTCTGTTTTTTGTTTTTTCGATGCCTAAATAATAATAGTGTAATTTTTCGAGCATAACTTTTCGGAGTGATCGAGGAACAACTACTCGATTATTGTTATATAGCAATCCTTCGTTTTCGAACATGTTTTCTTTAATCGCGTGATAAGGTTTGGCTTCGTCGGGTACATTTTTTCGATTTTCAGGCCAACCTTCTCTGATCAATTTAACAATTAATTGTAATTCCGCATCTTTTTTCGTTTCCTCAATAAATTCTAACTTTCTTTGTCGCTCATGTAATCGTTTAAATTTTAAATTTAATATTGTCGTGTTAATATCTGGATCTTCGGTTTTTTCATTCAAATGTGCACGCGATAACGTATCAGCTATTAACAATTCTTTTCCCGGTTTGTATTCTAAATTAATATCAAAAGGCTGCAATCTAATTCGCATTTTCTGTAATCGAAGCGGAATGTCATTTAGAGGTTTTTTTATGATCGAAACTAATGGTTTGTGATCGGTTTCTACTTTAATCTCTCTACCGATGATAAATTGTCGATATTTTTCACACCCTGTGACAATTGCATAAAATTCTTTTTCGATTTGTGCCCACGCCTGTTGCGTTGTTGTAAATGCTTTCGATGCATACGCGATTGGATTATCATTTTGCAGAAGAACCGCACCCACCCCTGACTTGCTAGCATCAACACTCAAAGTACAAGGTAAATTCGGATCATAATAATTCAAAATCGGAGCATTTGTTAAACATTCTTTGATTTTTTCGAAAGATTCAGAATGTTTTTCTGACCACGTAAATTCGACATTTTTTTTTCGTGAGTTCGCGTAGGGGTGCTGTGATTTCTGATAAATTCGGGATATACTTTGCTCGGTAGGTTATTACCCCTAATAATCGTTCGTTCTGGCATTTTCAAAATTGCTTCGATACTATCTTTCGTAATGGATATTCCTTCGCTCGAAAATTCATGACCTAGGAATTTCACTTTTGATAAACCGATTTTACTTTTGTCTAAATTAAATTTGACACCCTTTTCTTGCGCGATTTTAAATACCCTTATCAGTGTTTGTTCCATTTCAGATTCATCTTTCGCCCAGAGAAGCATGTCATCAATAAAAATTTCTATGTTCGGAATGTCTTTGAAAATTTCCTTGTAAACCCTATGAAAAATTTCGGGACCCGTTTTAATACCGTGTGGCATTCTAAGAAATCTGAAACGACCGAAAGGTGTTTGAAACGTAGTGCATTTAGAGCTTTCTTCCAAAAATTAGATTTGCCAAAATGCTCTTGAAGCGTCAAGAATTGCAAAGATTTTTGCATTACTTACTTTGCTCGCAATTTCCTCGAAAGATGGAAGTGAAAAATGTTCTCTCATAAGACACGTGTTAAGATGCTGCGGATCTAAAACAATTACCAAATCTTTATTTTCTTTTTTAACAATTGTAAAAGCGTTTACAAATTCTGTCGGCTCCTCAATTTTAGCAATAATTTTATTTTTCTCCATTTTGTCTAACGTATTTTTGAAATCATCCATAATTTTAAATGGAACTTTTCTGCAAGGTTCAATTTTACCGGTATAATCGGGTTTCATTTTGAAGTTATAAACATAGTCGAGTTTACCTATTCCTTCAAACAAAGTTTTATTTTCG